ATGTCTGTTCATGTTTACCTCGTTTTCATATCCACAAATGTCTCAGCCCTCTACATCATCAACTTAAGTAGAAAATCAGATCCAAGTATCTAAGTATCTTCAGCTCCAAGTCCCAAATCTCACCATATAAATAATCTAACTCAGATATAAGTGATACTTTGTATCTTCAGGTAAAAATACCTCTCCCTTTGTGGACCTGTGAAAATACAAAACGAGTTATGTGCTTTCAAAATACAGTGGCAAAAAAAATGCATAAGTATGACAGTTGTACACATTCCTATTCCTGCAAAAATAAAGTGCAATGTAGAGAGGGGTCGCTGGTTCCAATCAATATCAATCATGGACTAGGTCACTTCTGTAAAAAAAAAAGTTACCAGGTTCCAGCTATTAGGACCTGATATCTTTTTAGGGGGCATCATTGAGCCCACTACAGATGATGTAATAAACAAATTATAATTAGTTTATGAAGACATAGAAAAAGTAGGAGAAATTAAGAAAACCAAACTGTGAATTTCTCAAAAAAAAATGCCAGGCCAACATTTCACAGATGATTAAAGAACAAATAATTCCCATGCATTATTAACTATTCTGCAGCATAAAGAAGAAAACCTTCTGGCTCTATTTGTCATCCCAGTGCTGCAGATATCAGTATTTGATACAATCTGACTGTGAAATAATCCCACTTGTGGCATTGTAATTTTCTTAAAAAATATTAACAGGTAAACATCATGCCTTATATAAATAGTACATTCAGGTAAAGATTGTCAGGAGAGAAAACATTGTTTTATTCCAGATGGGAAATGCAGAAACATAATCTCTTATGTAAAAGCTCAATATAACAAAGCTTTGAAAACCCAAATTTCAGTAGTTGATTGATGAGAACTATAACCTCAACTAACCGGTTCTTTGTAGTGTTACCAAGTGAAGTGATTTTAATGTAACTGTAATTATAATTAGCTCTATCTCACATTGTTAATTTATCATTCCTTGAGTCAATATTTATATGTCCTAGTGTAGAAATATTTATGTGAAGTTTAAGTATATATTGGGCCTTTTGAGTTTGTTAGCTAATTTATCACATATGCATGCATAACCCACAACATTCTGAATACCAAGCATAACTTTCCTCATGTACTTCATCTTCAAGATTATGGAATTTATTTAGTTAACCATCTCAGTAAACCAAATGAAGAAGGTATTACGAATTTCAAAATCATGAAATTCAGTAATAGCAAAAATTAACATTTTTTTTTGCTTTCTATGTGCCACACACAGTTATAGCTGTCTTCTAGGTATTAGAACATCAGATCTTCAAAGAAAGACAGATATGATTAAAATTATTCTTAAGATAGGAAAATGGTAATAACGGAAATCTAAGCAAACTTTTCAAGGCAAAATATTTAGTCAAATTTAGAGCTCGATCTTGAAGCCAGTCAATTTAATATACAGAGATAAATCGAGACAGACTTCAATATGTAGTCCGTACAAGAAGAAATATGAATAGATAAAAGCATAGGAAAAGATTGTAGTTACTGTGTACCTTTGACAAAATTAATTGAAATGTTCACTTAAAATTGGCAATTTTCTTGTATGTAATAACACTTCAAATAATTTACTGGAAAGTTTTAGTAAAATAACAAATAGAGCACCAAAAACTTCAGCTTTTGAAACTTTTTAGCAAATTATAATTTTTGAGATAAAGTTTGCACACAGCTTGGAGAGATTGGAATTTATCCCTCCAAAAACAAAGAAAAATTAAATTATTTCAACAATAAATACCCATATAGTATGCAAGATCATTTTAAATTCTACAATTAGATTTTGAAATAAATATTTTGATGATGCTCATTTCTAATCGGCTAAATTTATGTTCCATTCTGAAATGGAATAAAATTGAGAAGGTATATGGTATAATGGTCATATCATCAAAAACAAGAACAATTTATTTGACAAGTTTTAGAAACTGTTTGTGAGAGAAAGAGTCTTTAAGTAGAATAAAAGATAATACTTAGGAAAAACATATTTCAGAAAAATACTAGTGATCAATTATTGGAGACAGATATGGCTAATAAGCTGATTCTTTAATATACATATATTTGTATATACTGATATATATGTAAATGTAGCAAGAGAAGTTGCTAATCACTTTTTTGGATGTTTGAATAACACATAAGGTTTAAATTTGTTTTACTTTAATAAAATTGATTTATTTTTACTTCTTAGGATTTTTTTAATTAATTAAAAATAAAGCTATATAGCTATATAGCTTAACCTATATAGGTTAAGGAAATAATAAAAAGCAACTTGAGTCTATAAAAACATGTTTCAAAAATATGCCGTTTAACCATGTTTAGCATTCCCTTTTAACTTTAAGAAAATTCTAGTTTGCATATAAGGTCTATGAAAATCCCAAATATACAAAATATTGTTCCAATTGCTACACAGAATGATCTCATTAAATCTCCACCAAGGTACTTTGAAGGAATATCAGTATTCTCTTTTAAAGATTAGGAAGCTGTGATTCTCAATAAATACATAATTTGTTTAAAGTCGCATGGCATGCAAGTAGAGAGTCTGAAGTCAGAGTTTCTGCATTCTCGGGAGCAGAAGTAATGCTGGTTTATTTCTGTTGTCTAAAAACTATAATGTCTCTAGACAGAAATGGTAACATTTATTTTAAAATGCCATTTTAGCTGTTTCTTATTTCGTCTGTCTTTAGAGAACCTTCAGTGTCCCTTGAAAAATGACTGCTGGATAACATTGCAGATTTTGGCGTACTCTCTCAAGCCCCTTGGGGTTATGCCAAAGGGACGGGGTCCCATGTGAATTGGGTCTGGATTCTCATCCAAATGAACACCTGCTGTCATTGTTCCTTATCAATCCTGCAGTCAGCAATGCCAGCTCTCTTTTGATGGTGGAACCTATTCAACACAAGGAAAAACCTGCTAGTGTTTGACACTAATTTTTATTTTTCCCTCTTTGAACTAAATGATGCATTGCCCAAGTATCTTGAAGATAGATAAGCTAATATTAGTTTTATCTTTGTGCAGTCCTGTGTTTCTAGGAGTTTACCCAATTAAAGTCTGGTCTACTTAAATAGTCTTTTGATGTCTTTCTCCCTCCTCTCTTTTTTCCTTTCTCCCTTTCTCTGTTCTGTTTATGCTGCTTTGAAAAGGGAGAGATTTGTTCTTACAAAAATATACACTTGTAAAGAAAATTGTAGTACACAATCTATTTTTAAACGTCTCAGTCTCCCCAACTTAGCAGAAACAAATAATTCAAGCAGAAGTATATTCAATGATATTCTCCCTACGGGAAGCAATATTGATCATTCATTCTTAGTGTTTGATTCATATTCCTTTGCTTCTGTTTAACTAGTCTGCTGAATGTATGCATTTAATTGGAAGGTATTCCAAATTGATTTTATACCAGATTAGGGATAAAGTAAAAATAAATGCTTTTTTAAAATAATGGATGATTATGCCACATATAAATAGCCCAGTTCAGGTGTTTTTTCTGTAATCTCATACCACAATAAGGCAACTTCATATTATAAAGTATAATATATTGATGAAAATAAAATTATATTTATGAAAAGGAACTTTGTGACTAGATTTGAGAGTTATCATTGGAACAATAAAAGTGAACCATCTTGATATTTGTACTTCTGGGCAAACCAAGAAGTTGGCCATGTTTATATAGCAAAATACATATTAAATATTAAACCATGGAGGGAATTTTTGTAACCTTTATTATACGCATTGCTTCTATATGTCTTTATATATATGTCTGGGTAATTTTTGTTCATGGTTTAATTCAATTGCTTGACGTATTTTATGGTGTCAAATGTTTACACAGAAAAAAATTACAGTTAGCTCTATCCTGCAACTCTCTGCCATCTGCAGTGGGCATTGGTCCCTCTCTTTTTGTGCCTCATGCTTTGTTATGCATGAGTAAGCACATTAGCCTTTCATTCCATTCATTAGACTTTTAATCCTTGATTAGTGTTTTCAAGATTCTCTGAAATACACAACTTCTTTATTTTCTTGCATTTGGTTTTCTTTTTCTTTTATCTCCACTATGAAACAAAATTAACAGTGAATGTCAACAATGCCCTTTTCTATTGAGATGACTGGTAAATATATTAGTTTCTCATTTGAGTGATTAATCATGTGTGGATGAAGAATGGGAAAACATCTCCACACTTGGAATAACAGAGATAATTGTTTAGAGTCAGGTGGAACAGTCTGTGCTTGAAAAGCTTGGATAACAGTATTTCGCCAGTCTCACACATTGAGTATGATTTCTGTCTCATGGAAAAATTCTGTATTTGCTAAAAGTAAGAAACATCCATTAGGATCAGAACTGATGCACTTGGGGTCTCAAAGACAAATTATATGTGTCACCAATTTACCCAAACTAAATGTTTCTCTTTGCTGTTTTTTTCTATTACCATGAGATATGAGAGGAAGTTGCTCATGGTACATACATCTATTAATTACACATCAAGACACCCTAAGCAAAATCTGAAGTATTGCACTTATCTTTACTAGACATGCACCTTCACACTGTCTTTTAACCATAATTAACCTCAAATAATTAGAAGCTTCTGTAATGATCATTTCTCCACTCAGACCATCCTTCTAACTCTCGTTTAACAATATTTTCAATTACTATTTGACATTTACGTTCATATGTGCTATCTTTAACATACATTGACCATGCGACCAAAGCCAGTCATTATAGGATATATATAAATTAAATAGTAATAACCGTCTTAGATGTAAGTGTAACACAAAGCCAACCGTGAAATTATTATATAAATCACTTTTGTAAGAATTTATATGGATCATACATTTTTGTCTAATTTCCCATAATCATCTTGGCAATAATATTGTAAAGTTCATTTTAAAATGTAATTTTTTAATTTTAGTCTATACTACCATAAGAAAATAGGATCATAAGCTGTCCTGTTTTTGTTTTCTTTTTTCTCCCCTCAGGATGCCTCCATTGCACACAGATTCCACATCATGAGAGAAAAACACCCAGAGAAATTCAACAGTAGGTAAGGTAATAGGAGATGGAATTATAGATACGGTTGCTGAATTTTGCCATGAAAAGATCACTAGATGGTATAGAACATTTTATAATATAGTGTCCTAATGAGGCTTTGTGTGCACGTGTTTGCAAATGTATGTGTGTAAATATTAAGATGACTGGGTAAATGAATTAAATTTTTCCTGGGTTGTGATGTAACTATAATGGGAAATGCAGTGGGTCATCTGTTTCATTCTCAAGTGCTATATAAGAAAATTTTCAAGTAAAAGATGGAATTTATAGTTTTAAGGCACACTGGAAGTTTGCATGACTTCTATGAACAGCAATCAACATTAATCCCAAGAAAAAACAAAGGGTTCTGATTTGATAACGCTAAGTGTGTATTACATAGGGGTTATATATCTTTGAACTATCAGCCTTAAATTGGCCTCAACTAAATGCAATAGAAACTATAATAATAGCAATGTGAGTATAATATTTCTTAGAGACATTTCTTCAAGGAGGAAAGCCTTGACTAACAAAATTACTTTCCTCATAAGAGCAATAGGCAAGCATTTCTTTTCCTTCAAAAATGTAGACATTGACCTTCACAGTTACTCAGGGAAATAGGGAAAGCCTTGGTTCTGTATCTTCCCCATTGCTAGAAAAAAATACAGCTCTCTTTACCTCACTCTCCTAAAAAAGTCGGGCAGAAGTCAATTATCTTTTGCTTCAGTTTTACTCATTTCCACTGTTTTCACTTGCAAAGTTACAAAATCATAACTAACATTTCTGTATAGATATTTAAGTGGCTTTGTCTATTAATATTCAAAGCCAGGGGCTTTGTTATTTTTGCATTTGGCTGACATGTTGCCATAAATGTTACAGACTATTTATTAGATAACTGCCCCTGGACATTCTTAGATTTCTTTCAATTTTGTCACGCACGAGTACATTGATACAATTTTCTTGAATGTAGGTTCACAATCAATTCTGTTAAAACTCTTTCAAAATGGTTTTTTAGTTATCTAAATGATAAACCTGAGTATACTACTTTATTCATAAATCATCATAGCAAGTATTTCATGATTAGCGAAGTCATATTTAATTTGCTATTAAATTTCCCTATTAAGATGTTTTTAGTAGGCAGGGTGTGGTGGCTCATGCCTGTAATCACAGAACGTTGGGAGGTCAAAGTGGGCATATTAAGAGGTCAGGAGTTCGAGACCAGTCTAATCAACGTGGAGAAACCTTGTCTCTACTAAAAATACAAAAATTAGGTGGGTATGGTAGTGGGTACCTGTAATTCCAGTTATTTGGGAAGCTGAGAAAGGAGAATTGTTTGAACCCGGGAGGTGGAGGTTGCAGTGAACCAAGATCTCGCCATTGTACTCAAGCCTGGAAGACAAGGCAAGACTCTGTCTCAGAAAAAAAAAAAAAGATGTTTTAGTAACTAAAAATACAATCTTGTACCTTGTTTGGTATTGCCTTGATTTATTTTTAACCTACAAATAAATCGTGACCTTATGATTCACGTTTTTCCTCATAGTTCAGAAAAAAATTATACCTTTTATTATAAAGAAAATGAAAGAAATGCATATATAGATATATATGTGTACATATATTTTCAGAATAATTCACACACACTTTGTAACTCTAGTTGCTTCTGGAGAGGGAAACAATGTGGCTGTGGTGACAACTGAATTTTTCTTTATTGTACTGTTTGAATTTTGCTACAGGTGCATTTCAAAATTAAATCCAAGTAATCTAATTAAAATTTTGCACCTGTAAGTTTTCCTTGTACCTAGAATAGACATTTTTATTTTACAAGATTTAGTTTCAGTTCATGAAACACATATAAAAATAAACTGATATAACAGTGGTATCATATGCACTGCATGCATTTTAGCACTTGATTATACACCTGGAATACCCTGGAAATGAATATACTTATTAATGTGCACAAAACATATTCTAAGATAGAGTAGCCTATGTTTTCCCCTATGTCATTCTATGAAGCATTCATATTTATATTTGTATATATTATTTATGTTATATTCATGAAGTTTATATTCATATATTAAAATAGGTTTCAAGCAAAAAACAAAAGCTATGTTTGGATAATACCACATGGAGTGTACCTCTTCAAGAGTTTAAAATTAAAAAGTTCATTAAAGGCTTTAAGAAATATACAAAGAATAAAATGTTTGCAGTTTATAAGATATTACTGTCCTATACTTACTGAAGAGAGAGGGAAAGGCAGAGAAAAAGAGAGCCATAGCAACAGAAAAATAAGAGGATTGTGGTGAGGGAGAGGGTGGCAGGGACAATTAAGTGTATAGAGAGGTACATCAATACATTATGTGCTAATCAAATTTGACAACATATATGTAAGAATGCCAATATTTATTATCCTCTCTCAAGTGTCAGAGGCTAATGAATTTCTTTCTGCAGAATAATTTTAAGTCTTCTTAATAATAAAGACTTCTATTATTCACATATCTATTTAATTTTTTATTATCAATAGCTCTACTAATTTATGAATTCCTCACTGCTCACTATGTGATTAGATGTCATTTACAACAATATGTTTGTAAATGGCAATGTTTTTTATAAAATGTAAAACTAACCTTATTAAAACTTCTTTGTAAATTTCAATCATGAGTAAATCTTGCTTATAAATAGTTTATACAGACTTTTTTCCTGGAGATAACATAGAAAATGCCCTCTAAAATGACACAAAGTCACACATTTCTATTGTGAGTTCAAGTGTTGGGTATGTAGTAGATGTTCAATGTATTACTGGCCAAATATTTTTTAAGATAATGGTCAGCCACAGAATTCCATATATTACCAAGTCAATCAGACATGGGTGTTTCAATCTATACATTTGCATATTAAGCCTACATTAATAATTCCAAGCATTTAGGTAATTCCCTAAACCATAGTGCAATATATTCAGGATACGAACGTCTTCTGATGAATTTCTATGAGGATGACATATTGTACACAAGCAGTTTCATACTTACAATGGCAGATATTTCAGATTTTAACACTGAGACGGGCTCAGCCATAGCACTTTCATATTTTCAGGAATTTGCAAATGGATTTTTTAAGTACTCCTAATAATGGTATTTCAGATCAGATCTCTTGTCACAATAAATCACATGCCATTAATATTATCCTCCAGCATGCTCACCTTGAAATTCATTTATATTTCAAAGAACATGATGTTTCTAACATTATCTTAAGGAAATTAATTACCAAAATATATAGTTCTATTCTCTATGCTTCTTACGACAGAAATGGAAAGAAATGGGAAAGGTAATGATTTTTTCTGGTGCTTCAGAGAGTGCTAGTCGAAAGGTTTATATTATATTCCTTCCAAATTTCTATATAAATCCAAGTTAACTGTTAAAAGAAAGCATGCTGTTTAACTTTCTAAACTTTAAGATATTCTTCCATCAAACTGAATTTGAATGAAATCTTTCATTCCTTCAGACTCAAGAAAAAGAAAATCTTTAAAGTATCATGCTACTAGAATCTAAACTATTTATTGCATAATATTAGTTTTAAAATATTTATATAAATTGACAATTAGTATTCACAAACATATTTACATTCATAATTCACATACTTAATACTTCTCATGGTACTAGATAGATGACTTTAAATACTTCCTTTTTTGAAAAAGTATTATTATTTATTACCACACCAAAATAAGCATTTAAAATGTCAATTATAAAGGGATTTAATGATTTTAGAAAAACATGCAAGCAGTGTGGAATTCCATGTGTAAAACTATGTAATATTAAAAAGAACTTGGCAAATATTAAAAAGTAATAGGCAAAATGGAACCCATTATAGGAAAAATATTGGTGGTATTAGTCTGTTTTCACACTGCTGATAAAGACATACCTGAGTCTGAGTAATTTACAAAAGAAAGTTTTATTGGATTTACAGTTCCACATGGCTGAGAAGTCCCCACAATCATGGAGGAAGGCAAGGAGGACCAAGTCACATCTTATGTGGGTGGGGGCAGGAAAAGAGAGAGTGAGCTTATGCAGGAAAACTCCCCTTTATAAAACCAACAGATCTCATGGGACTTACTCACAATCATGAAAACAGCAGAGGAAAGACCTGCCCCCATGATTCATTTACCACTCTCCAGATGCCTCCCACAACACATGGGAATTCAAGATGAGATTTGGGTGGGAACATGACCAAACCATATAATTCTGCCCATGGTACCTCTCAAATCTCATGTACTCATATTTCAAAACCAATCATGCCTACACTACAGTCCCCCAAAGTCTTAATTCGTTTCAGCATTAACTCAAAAGTCCACAGTCCAAAGTCTCATCTGAGTCAAGGCAAGTCCCTTTTGCCTGTAAGCCTATAAAATCAAAAGCAAATTAGTTACTGCCTAGATACAATGGGAGTACAGATATTGGATAAATACACTCATTGCAAATGGGAAACATTGGCTAAAACAAAGGGGCTACAGGCCCCATGCAAGTGCAAAATCCAGTGGGGCAGTCAAATCTTCAAGCCTCAAAATGATCTCCTTTTGACTTCTTGTCTCACATCTATGTTACACTGATGTAAGAAGTAGGCTTCCATGACCTCGATCAGCTCTGTAGCTGTGGTTTTGCAGTGCATAGCTCGCCTCCTGGCTGCTTTCACAGGCTGGCATTGAGTGTCTACAGCTTTTCCAGGTGCATGGTGCAAGCTATTGGTGGATCTACCATTCTGGGGTCTAGAGGAAGATGGTCCTCTTCCTATAGCTCCACTAGACAGTACCCCAGTAGGGATGCCGTGTGGGTGCTCTGACCCCATATTTCCCTTCCTCATTTCCCTAACAGAGGCTCTTTATGGAGGCCTGCCCCTGCAGCAAACTTCTGCCTGGGCATCCAGGCATTTCCATACATCCTTTGAAATCTAGGCAGAGTTTCCCAAACCCTAATTCTTGACTTCTGTGCACTCTCAGGCTCAACACCATGTGGGAGCTGCCAAGACTTGAGGCTT